TCGAATTTATGTGCTGTGGGACACGTTAATGGACTGGGGAATTTGCAATAACTTTTAAAGTTTTCAATCAATTTTTGTGTTGTATATCATTCCAAAATGCTTACTCTGTGCACATTACGATTCCTTTACAATAAATTTCAAAATTTATTACTAAATGACCAAATTTGAGCAAAAACTGAAAAAAAATCGATATTTTCCACTTGTAAATGCACTTGGAAACTTCAGAGCCGTTACGGCACCTGTTAACGTTATCCAATCATCCTAATTTTTTGTATGACATAGTTTTACAACCCATAGAACAATTCTAGAGGGGGGGACGGGCAAAATTCGCAACTTCGTTTTTTTGGAGCACTCCACAGTGGGGCAGAATGGAAATTTTTTGGAAATAAATCTGGCATTTCTAAACGGCTGATCCGATCGGGATAAAATTTGGCGTGAGCGTAGCCAAGGAGTATTCGAGTTTAAGTTTTGAAGATGAACCCTGCAGATGCCCCAGGGACGGCGCTGTGGCGGCTCAAAGTAGGGTACCTACGACATGTAAAATTTTTAAACTCGTGCCATTTTTTTGTTTTTCACCCAAATACAAAGATTTTTATATTTTGTGAAAGCGCTCGACGAGATCTTGAAAAAACATGCTTGGACATACTACTTATCTCGTATAATATCCGAGTTATAGGCATTTAAAAATTTAGTGATACAAAATTTACCTTACCTTGGTCCACCTTTTTTTGAATACCGGGCGTAATTTTGGACCAAATGGACTCAATGGACTCAGTTAGACAACAAAATTTCCAACAATATACAAAAAATTTCAGATCAATATCATTTACAGATCCAAAAATATACGTTTTTTAATTTAAAAATTCAAAAAATTTTAGATTCTTGCCGTTTTTTTGCCAAAAATGTGTCTTAACTCTTTTATTAATAAAATAAAATTTTCTTTAAGAACATATAACAATTTTATAGTTTTCTAAAAGGTATCTTTACGCAGAACGCTTTGGCGTAAAAAACTTGTCCTATTTTTTGAAAATGTTGCCACTGCGTCCTTCCGAATATGACCTATTTTTTATCAAAACTTCAACTTTGGGCGACATGTTCTAAAATCCCAAAGCTGGGATCAGAAAACTGAAAGCAGTTTTGGAAACCTCAATATGTTTTCTATTTACTCCAAAAGTATTTTCCCAGCCCTGAAAGAAATGTGGACCCTATGGGCAAAAAAGTAAAAAATCCCATTTTTGGGATTTTCATTCCTATTTTTGGGAATTGCGGGATGCCCTTTGACCTTTTCAATTTTTTTTTTTGCATATTCTTATTTGAAATGACAAATTTAACAAGCGTTGAAAATTTCATTGAGTTTTGTTCATAAATAAAGATTTTGTCATATATTACATATTTGTTTAATTTCTAAAACTATGATTTATATCAAAATTTTAATAGGATCGCAGATAGCTACAACAATTTAGTCCATATTTATCCCTTAATATCATTTTTTAGTTAGATATGGAAATTCTCGACCCTTTACAAAAAATTTCAAGCCAATATCTCAATTACATTCAAAAATATGTTCATTTAAACCTGTGTCCTTTAATTTCATCTTTTTCATATTTTAGTATTAAGTATGACAGCACATATTTAAATCTTATATTTACCTATTTTCTATTTGTTTGCTTATCCTTATAATTGAAAGGTCCTATTATGCTTAAATTTTCAAAAATTTATAACTATTTTTTACCTAAATTTTTTCGTTCTGTTTCGTTTATGATCATGTAGGTAAAAATATACAGGTAATGATAATTTCGATTCATTCACTAATAAGAAATATCAATAACTGAATTACAGGTTATAGTAATATAGTCCTAAATGTTAATAGGTAGACAATTTGTAATTTTTTACTTTGGAATACCTGTATCGGAAATGACAAGAATTGGTATATAAGTAAACTTCTACAATGAAGATTACATTAAAGTACGAAGAGTTGTGTTCCGTTTTATGGAGTATATCTTCAAAAGGGCCAGAAAGAATTGAAGACATTTCAAACTATATAAAAACTACATATAGTAGAAAAGTAGACAAAACAGGCATATCAAAAATTGAAAACTTTTTAAAACTTTTTGATGTAAAAAGTAAGTCTGTGGATGGAAATCAAAAGAAATTTCGATTAAAATTTTGTAGTTGGATGGAAACTACTACGGAAATCTCAACTTACAACACATCAATAGGAGCGCCTTGCAAGTCATACGAAGACTTATGTTCAAGGTAAAAAAAAGAGGGTCACACAAAAACTTTTTTCAATCTCAAATGAGGAAATTGCTGATACATTTAACGAAATGCTAAAAAAGGAAAACCAACATATGGATGTCGTACATATTGCAACTATTCTTCCTAATGCATCACCAAAACGACTTAAGCGAATTGTGGAAAGTATACCAACTCCAACATCATAATCAAATTTTACTGAAGAGGAAGCAATAGCGCTTATGTTGGAACTGGGTCTCAGTCGAAATAAGTACCAAATATTAAGGAAAGCTCTGCATGAAAAAGGACACAATATATTACCATCATACAAGGCGATCCAGGAAAAAAAACAAAATATCCTACTAAATCAACAAAAAATAATGAAGAATTGAAAGAACTGAGAGCTGCGGAAAAAAGCAGAATCCAAGAAGAATTTAAAGTTCAGATGGGATTAAACATCGACAAACCACTTTCAAGTTGAGGTAGTACAAATGACGGTAATACGTCGAGAAGGTTTTCAAAAATAACTGGAATCGACAAGGAGTTGCTTCGAAGAGTTAAAACTATTTTAATGGCACTGAATAGTAAACATAAAATTAATGAAAATCGATTTGGGGAATACACATCTGAAATTTCTAAATTACTTGGATCTCTGTATCCATGGAGGGAACTAACACCAACAGTACACAAAGTATTGTGTCATGGTCAAATAATAATTGAATCGAATATTCTTCCACTTGGAGAGTTAACAGAAGAAGCCCAGGAAGCGAGGAATCGAGATTTTAAGCATGTTCAACTATTCAGCTCAAGAAAATGCTCCAGGCAATCACAGAATGAAGATATTTTTAATAGTTTACTTCTATCTTCTGATCCTGTTCTTTCAACTATGCGAAAAAGATGGATTTGTTATGAAACTCTATCATCTCAAAACAAGGAAGATTTAAAGGACTTATATTACCTTCTGGATATGTATACCGATATGACAGATTATTTTATAGAAAATAAGTAGTGTTAGGAATTAACTATATAAGTAGGTTGTAAGAATTAATTGTATTATGTTTAAGATAAACAGTTCAAATAAAAAAGCTATTATACTAACTGATGATATTGTATTAAATTGTGTTTTATATTTCGGTGGGCGGGAAAGGTAATTTGTGTGGGGTGATTTAGGTGTTGTTGTGCGTGGCTCATAATAAAATTATAATTTTTTTATTTTATATACAATATTATAATAAAATAATTAACTAAATAATTTTTAAAAATTGTCCAAATATTTTATTCAACACCAAATGTATGTTCTGTCATACTTAATACTAAAATATGAAAAAGATGAAATTAAAGGACACAGGTTTAAATGAACATATTTTTGAATGTAATTGAGATATTGGCTTGAAATTTTTTGTAAAGGGTCGAGAATTTCCATATCTAACTAAAAAATGATATTAAGGGATAAATATGGACTAAATTGTTGTAGCTATCTGCGATCCTATTAAAATTTTGATATAAATCATAGTTTTAGAAATTAAACAAATATGTAATATATGACAAAATCTTTATTTATGAACAAAACTCAATGAAATTTTCAACGCTTGTTAAATTTGTCATTTCAAATAAGAATATGCAAAAAAAAAATTGAAAAGGTCAAAGGGCATCCCGCAATTCCCAAAAATAGGAATGAAAATCCCAAAAATGGGATTTTTTACTTTTTTGCCCATAGGGTCCACATTTCTTTCAGGGCTGGGAAAATACTTTTGGAGTAAATAGAAAACATATTGAGGTTTCCAAAACTGCTTTCAGTTTTCTGATCCCAGCTTTGGGATTTTAGAACATGTCGCCCAAAGTTGAAGTTTTGATAAAAAATAGGTCATATTCGGAAGGACGCAGTGGCAACATTTTCAAAAAATAGGACAAGTTTTTTACGCCAAAGCGTTCTGCGTAAAGATACCTTTTAGAAAACTATAAAATTGTTATATGTTCTTAATAAAAATTTTATTTTATTAATAAAAGAGTTAAGACACATTTTTGGCAAAAAAACGCCAAAAATCTAAAATTTTTTGAATTTTTAAATTAAAAAACTTATATTTTTGGATCTGTAAACAATATTGATCTGAAATTTTTTGTATATTATTGGAAATTTTGTTGTCTAACTAACAAGAAAAAATTGAGTCCATTTGGTCCAAAATTACGCCCGGTATTCAAAAAAAGGCGGACCAAGGTATGGTAAATTTTGTATCACTAAATTTTTAAATGCCTATAACTCGGATATTATAAGAGATAAGTAGTATGTCCAAGCATGTTTTTTCAAGATCTCGTCGAGCGCTTTCACAAAATATAAAAATCTTTGTATTTGGGTGAAAAATAAAAAAATGGCACGAGTTTAAAAATTTTACATGTCGTAGGTACCCTACTTTGAGCCGCCACAGCGCCGTCCCTGGGGCATCTGCAGGGTTCATCTTCAAAACTTAAACTCGAATACTCCTTGGCTACGCCAAATTTTATCCCGATCGGATCAGCCGTTTAGAAATGCCAGATTTATTTCCAAAAAATTTCCATTCTGCCCCACTGTGCACTCTAATGTACATATAATAAAATATTCGTAAAAAGTAACATTTAAATATTATTCGAATAATCGACGAAAAATGTTCGAATTATTCTTTAATAACACAGGCCAACAAAAATTTAAAAAAATCGAAAGGTAGGTTGGTTTGTCACTCAAAATTCAAATTTTTTTATAACATCAGGTTTTCGTGTCATGTTTGCCTTACCTTTATTAATCGAAATTCAATCCTTAGCTACGTTCACACCTGAAAAATATTTGGTCCAAATAATTGTAATAAATATTTTTGAAGTTGCGTCAAACAAACGCAATATTTATTTCATGTTCAGACTTGAACAAATATTTGATGGTATTGTTTTAAATTTATATAATAAAAGTGTTTAATATTAATATATAACACAATTGAAAAAACTTTGTCGAATCTGAATATAAAATATGTTATGTTAACAAACGACAATGCGGATGATTTTCATAAAACAAATTGATTTGCTGGCAAATAAATATTTTTTCATTGTTTCATCAATGTGAACACCAAAAGTCAAATAATTTACATAATTTTGGCAAAATAATTATTTGATCTTGCAAACCAAATGTAAGATAACAGCTGTTCTTTGTTTATTTTCTGAAAAAGAGTGTTATCACATCATACAAAAATGTAAATAGTCGCTAAAATGACCGGTTTTATTCTATTTTTTATAAAATAGATATCTGAGACAAAGTAGTTGTGACATTTAATAGAAATTTAAGCAATTGCGTAAATTAAAGATAATTATTATTTTTGTTGTTTATTTATACCCTACACCACTATAGTGGGGAGGGTATTATTTGTTATTAATTGGTTGACAACAACAGTCTATAAAGTTTATAGTCTAGTCTATAAATTTATGTTGACAACAACATACTATATATAGGGTAATTTCAAAAATTTTCGAACAAAAAAGTAGGATTTTGAATTTTTTTCAACAAGTATTAAATTTGACGTATATTTTCTTAATTATTTATCCGATTTTAATCGTTTAGTCCCCAATATTTGATTTAAAATATAACATTTTTAACGTGAGGATGATGACATCAAACAACGTCCTTTAGTCAAGGATATCTCAAAAAATGTACCTTCCATTTTATTTATTCCTTTACATAAGATCGCTTATTGTGTACTCAACAATATATAAGATATAGAAATTTTGGAGAATTTCAAATTCCGTATTTACATGAAGAATGTGTGTATCGAATTTCATCGAAATCGGAGAGGATAAAGTACAAAACCTGCTCGAAAATTTTTGAAATGCCCCTCTAGTTTATAGTCTAGTCTATAGACTAGACTTTAGACTCTAGTCTATAAATTTATGTTGACAACAACATACTATATATAGGGTAATTTCAAAAATTTTCGAACAAAAAAGTAGGATTTTGAATTTTTTTCCACAAGTATTAAATTTGACGTAAATAAATATTATTTGATTTAAAATATTACATTTTTAACGTGAGGATGATGACATCAAACAACGCACAGTGGTATAGGAAAAAAAAAGAGGGAAATAATTCGGTAACTTCTAAGCGGTTAATCCGATTTTAATGAAATTTGGTATGCACAAAGAGGAGGTGTTATCGAGTTTAGGTTTTGAATTTGGACCTTATAGGCCAACCAGGGGCCCGGCGGGGTGTCCTCAAATTAGGACACCTCGGCTATGTTAAATTTTTAAAACGATCCTATTTCTTCATTTGAGTTCCGATTTTTCGAATTTCGTATATAGAATCTCCTCATCGAGCACTATAAAAAATGTCGTCGTAGCAGTAAATTATCTCTTATAGTTTAGGAGATATTCGCATTTGAAAATTAAAATTTTAAAATTTTTACCGTCCTTACTTTAGTTTTTTTGATAATAGCGGGTCCAAATATTCCCGATTTTCGCCATTTTTTTTTTATTCGCTTAACAACAAGTTTATATATCAAGCAGTGAATTATGTAAAAATCATGACTGAGTCCAAAGTTATAGGCATTTTAATTTAAAAAATAAAAAAGGCGATTTTTTGTCATTTTTTTGGGAAAAAAGTATCTTTTTCTTTTTAAGTTATCTAAAAAGTTTCTAAGAAGATGTATATAGAATTTATACTTTTTGGAAAGCTGACTTTACATAAAGTACGATAAATGAAACAAAACCTAAAAATTTTTGATACCGAGGGGACCAGGTCCATCCAAAAAAAACCCTATTTTTTATGGAAAATTCAATTTTGAGCAAAAATTCTCAAATCGCATAGTCGATATCAAATTATAGTGACCTGTTTTATATGACCCAATATGTTCTTAATCATTTTGTAACGGGTCTCGATAACCCCGCCCCTGGTATGGATATAATAGGCAAAAAACCAAAAAATCCCATTTTGGCATGAAGAAATAGGATCGTTTTAAAAATTTAACATAGCCGAGGTGTCCTAATTTGGGGACCCCCCACCGGGCCCCTGGTTGGCCTATAAGGTCCAAATTCAAAACCTAAGCTCGACAACACCTCCTCTTTGTGCATACCAAATTTCATTAAAATCGTATTAACCGTTTAGAAGTTACCGAATTATTTCCCTCTTTTTTTTCCTATACCACTGTGCAACGTCCTTTAGTCAAGGATATTTCAAAAAATTTACCTTCCATTTTCTTTATTCCTTCACATAAGATCGCTTATTGTGTACTCAACAATATATAAGATGTAGAAATTTTGGAGAATTTCAAATTCCGTATTTACATGAAGAATGTGTGTACCGAATTTTATCGAAATCGGAGAGGGTAAAGTACAAAACCTGCTCGAAAATTTTTGAAATGCCCCTCTAGTTTATAGTCTAGTCTATAGACTAGACTTTAGACTCTAGTCTATAGTCTAGTCTAAAGTCTAGTCTATAGTCTAGTCTATAGTCTTGTCTATAGTCTTATCTATACTCTACTTTATAGTCTAGTCTATAGTCTTGTATATAGTCCAGTCTATAGTCTACACCATTATTAAGTGAAATTGAGAACATTACGTATTAAATCGAGAAAAATCCAGATGAAATTAAGAATATCCATTTCATATTAAGAAAATTCCAATTAAAATTGTGATTTTCAATTTGAAATTGAGAAAATTCCGAATCAAATTTAGAATAAAATTAAGAATTTCCATTTTATATTGAGAAAATTTCAATTGAATTTTTGGTTTTCAGTTTCAAATTGAGAATATTCTAAATGAAAATGCGAATTTCCATTTGAAATTTAGAAAAGTACAATTGAAATGGAGAATTTTGAATTGAAATTGAGAAAATTCCAATTGAATTTGGGGAACTTTCAAATTAAATTGAGAAAGTTACAAATGATTTTCAGAAAATTTTAATTTGCAAATAAATATATATGTACATATATATGTATGTAGTGCAATACATGAATGTTCCGCGAAAGCTTAAAATTTGAACATTTTGACAATCATTTCGAAAAATTCTGCGAAACTTTTTATAATTTATACTGGGATCTGAACTTTTAACCTAATCAGCGGGAAATTCAGACCATATTTAAATATTTTTTTTTTTACTTTGCATTTTCAGACTACCAACACATATCGCTTGAGTGGTATTCCTACATAGTATTCATGATAAACCAGCCATTGCTCCTCTACAATCGGTGGATTAACATTGGAATTTCTTTATTATTTGTTTTTTAAAATGTGTTATATAAATAAAAGGTTCTCAATTTCATTTGAAATTTTCTTAATTTCATTTAAAATTTTCTCAATTTCATTTGAAACTTTCCCAATTTTAATTGGAGTTTTCTCAATTTAAATTCCAAATTCTCAATTTCAATTGAAGTTTTCTAAATATTAAATGGAAATTCGCATTTTTATTTGAAATATTCTCAATTTGAAATTGAAAGTCTATTCCTTTTTCTATTCCTCATTCCTTTGCTTAAATAATGAATTCTAATTTAGGCACTATTATCTATGATAACTCTTTTTTTGAATCTCAATTGCGTAATTACTCCAATAATTTAAAAATTGGTCACCTTAATCTTCAAAGTTTCGCACTAGGTGGTACATCGAACAAACTCGATGAATTGAGAAATGTTCTAAGTAACAATTTATTCGATGTGGTTGGAATAACTGAAACATGGTTAACTGAGTATATTTCATCGAACTCCGTTTGTCTTCCAGGTTATGTAATTTGTAGAAATGATCGCCCGGGTATAACAGGTGGTGGCGTTGCCTTATATGTATCTAGGAGTTTAAAATTTAATATTATCTGCAGAGAAACTAAATACAAAACTAATAGGAGAGGTGATAGGTCTCATGTGTCTGCCGAATTTTTGTTCATTGAAATAACTGTATCTGGTCGTAAAATACTTGTTGGTGTTGTTTATCTTCCTCACGGTGATTTAACATCAATAGAGGATAGTATTACAGATGTCTTGACTAAATACAATGATATTGTCATTATTGTTGATTTTAATAACAATATGTTTGATATTTCTAGAGCAGTTTCTGTAAGGGAAATGTGCAGTAGATTAAACATGATCTGTCATCATAACTCTCTACCTACTCATTTGAGCATAAGATTTGGTTCAACATCTTTAATTGATTATTTTCTTATATCTCCGTCTATGAACTCCATTCAATCAGGACAAGTTCAAATTCCAGGAACTTCACGTCATTCATTTATATATGCAGTTTTTGATGTAAAAATACCGATGGTTAAGGAATTCATTGAATATTTCGATTTTAATGATGTTGATTATTCTCTTTTAGAATTTATTTTTAATTCTTGTGATTTTGATAGAATTTTCTACACCGCTGATGTTAATGAGCAAGCCAATTTATTATTCTTATATTTATGTCAAATGCACAGCGCTGTGCCATTTAAAAAACGTAAAGTTTGTAGATTTAGTGATGACTCGTGGTTTAATTCCCCTGAGATCAAAAATAGTTTGACGATTAGAAATGCTTCTTATCGTTTATACTTGCGGAAAAGATCGAAGGAGAATTGGAATAACTTCTGCCGCTTTAGAAATCGGTCAAAAACCATTATACGTAATGCTAAACGCAAAGCACATGCTACATTATTTCATGATAAGAACTCTGAACAAATTTGGAACACACTTCGAGCAAATGGAATTGGAGATACTGTTACTAACATTGATAAAATTGATGTTGAAAATTTAAATTCTTTCTTTTCTTCTAATCAAGGTGATAACTCATTTATTAATTTTGATAGAATAGATTTTT